AATTGTCGACAAGTTAAGATTCCCGACGAAAACAGGCAACCCAACTAAAGAACGAGGTGTCCATTCTGCAGGTAATGCCCATCTTGCGAGGCAGGCGCTTGCGGGTTGAGCAGCCCCTTTCAGAAGTTAAACAATTGCAATTTGTTTTCTTCACGACAGGAATTACATCATCAAGGAGTGGTTAACTTGTATCACTTTTTCGAAACACCTGAAAAGGTAAGACTCGTATCTGATTATTATTCTTTTGAACTTTTTCACTGATCGAGTGTATCTTTGACGTGTAGATCTTTGTGGTGATGGAGAAATTAAAAGGTGATATGTTGGAGTTGATTTTATCCAGCACAAAGGGAAGATTGACAGAAAGATGTACAAAATTCTTAATATTCCAGGTTTGTCTGAAATCGTGGTTATCGAGGACCCGCCATTAGGGCTTCCTGATGTATTCAGCTCTGACACAACCTGGCGAACTAACTAAGACTTATTTTTTTGCAGATTTTAATAGCTTTAAAGCATTTGCATTCGAGAAACATCGTCCATTGCGATTTGAAACCAGAGAATGTTCTCTTATCACAGAATTGTTCTGATTGCGGGTTTCCGCAGGTGAGTGTCTTTGACCAAGATGAACGTAATTGTGTGATGTGGTTTCTTGTGTTGCGCGTGTTGCGTGCGTGTGTTGCGCGTGTTGCGTGTATGTTAAAGGAAATTGTCCTTGCATGTGTTTCTCTTTATATTCTTGTTTGTGAATGGTTGTGTGTTGTTATTTTGTTTCTGTGTGTGAATGTGTGTATATATTTCACTATCTATCTATTGCTGTTGAAATACTCTTCTAACAAACATTCCACATTTCAGATTAAACTGTGCGACTTCGGCTTCGCCCGTATCATTGGCGAGAAATCATTTCGTCGCTCGGTCGTCGGAACACCCGCTTATCTCGCGCCTGAAGTGTTACGTAACAGAGGATATAATAGATCCATTGATATGTGGTCCGTTGGAGTCATTATTTATGTTAGGTAAGACAACCTTTCATTAACGCGGAGCTTTTGATAGATGTGAACGAGTAATTAGTTACGAATGCTCTGATGTATAAAAGCTTTTATTTAAACATTAGTAACTAAATTACTCGTTCACATCAATCAAAAGAAGAAAATGAAATTGAAGCATTCTGCAGTAAATGTGGTAGAATCCTTAGGGATTTAAACACGAAATGATGCCGCTCATACAATTCTTTTCTGTTCCTTAGTCTTAGTGGAACATTTCCATTCAACGAGGAAGAAGAAATCGCCGATCAAATTAAGAATGCTGCGTTCATGTATCCGTCAGATCCGTGGCAAGAAGTTTCCAAAGAAGGCATCGATCTCATCAATAGACTTCTTCAAGTTGACAAGCGGTACCGACTGTCGTGTGACAAATCACTTGGTCATCATTGGTTGCAGGTATGGCAATATTTTTACATTAGTTATGGCTCTTGGTATGCGGTTAGCGCACTCTCTTTGAAAGAGTAACAGGGCGTCCCTCCCCTCCCTCCCTACCCCGCCCTACCCCTCTCTACCCCGGGGTTCATGATCTGGAAATCCAACTAATTCTCCGACTTCACTCCCCACCAGGAGTACCAAACATGGCTCGATTTACGAAGTCTTGAAGGGATCGTCGGTGAACGATATCTTACACACGAGAGTGATGATGAACGTATGGAGGCACATCGCTTACGACTTGAAACTCCTCGAGCAAACAATCATTACCAAAACTCTATGACTGGAGCCCAGTCTCCAAAGGGAAAACTCCAAACGGCCATGAGCTATGTATAACTCAAGGAGACCCCATTTCAAAATTGAGCAATCGAACTTTTGGCCTCAACAAGGCCGAAGCAGGGGGTTTCTTGCTCATAAATCACCTCTTATAAACCTCATTGCTAATGATCAGTTTTATCATAGTTTTACCTCAAAATCCAGCAGCGCAAATACTTATCTAAGAAATCTCAAATTCTCATATTTTAGCACTAGAAACGCTTAATGTATGGTTATGGGTATGCGTCTTCACTGAATTAAGGGCAAGGAGATGGTATGATGTTCAGTGAAGGCATTTGCAGTTCAAAGCATATTGCAAAAATCTTTCCTTTTGTAAAAAGGAATGGTGCAGTGGATACATTATGCGTTTCTAGTAACGATCAATCGTTAAGACTTGTACATTTTCAAGATTTCAAGATGTTGCTATTTTTCCTGTCTTCTACCATCCTAATTAGTAGGGTATGCTCAACCCCCACCCAATTTTAATAGTTGTCTTGATCCTAAATCTATCTTGGGCAATAAATCTTGTATTATCAAATATATATCAAAGCAAGGATTTACAAGAAAAAAGCAATCCTGTCTAGGTTATATTGCATTTGAAAGGATTATTAAGACAGAACATATTTTAAGATGCATAATATTACAGAATAAAGGCCATTTTTTATTGTATCATAATTATTACCCTGCACAGAATGTAAATTTTACACAATTTCATAAATATTCCTAGTTCATTGTGTTTGATTGTGTTTGCTATTTTTTAAATTAGTTGTGGTCTGATGGGTTAGGTTTGCAGAGAAAACACTAAAGCAATAGTTTAAAATGAAATAATTTTATATATTAGCAAAAAATTAGTCAATTTAATCTAAAAGTTTGGATTGTACAAATTTGATCAAAGCTATATATCACTACCTATATGACTACATAATTTATATATTACTGATATCTAATTTGCATTCAGCATATTCAAGCATCCATTATATGAATTCTAAGTGCTCATCTTCAGCAATTCCAAATTTTGTTTTATTTGCTTCAAAGATATCTGTCAGCCCTTCAAGATAGAGCTTGTGGAGGTTATCTACATCCTCAATACCAGGCTCTTTATTTGCATCAATGTGGATTGGTTTTCCAACTAAACATGAAAGGATTTGTGTTAAATTGTTGTGATGGCTACATTTGTCTTGAGCTTAGTTGGCATGTATATGTTAACTACCCTTTCCCTCATTTGACAGGATTATTTTACTCACCAATGGTATGCACAGGTTTTCGGAAAGGAACAAAACCAAAGGTATATTGAAATATGCCCCGACCATAGAAAAGTGGTGGAGAAAATGTAGCAATCTCCTTGACTTTGTTTTGGATCTTCCTAAGGGGGAGCCTTCAGGATTTGGATATTGCTTGAAGAGGTTGTTTTCACCAAATGAAAATACTGGAACAAGTGAGGCTCTGAAAACGAGTGAAAACAAAGTTGACACTTGGCAGGTATATTAGGTCACAGGTTAGGGAGATAGCCTAATGAATCTATTAATAATTAATATGAACCTAAATGACACCTGTACTTCTTTGCTTGAAGGCTCTTAACGCAACACTCACCCTGATTTTAAAGCAAGTTTAACAAAACCTTTCCTATTTTTTAGTACCAATTTAAAATTTCCTGGCCGAGCTTCCAGTGCCTCGGCTGCCCCTCCAACCACTACAACACATGAATGCCCTGGACCCATTTTGGTCAAAATATGATTTATGCTTTCTTTAGACGCTGGGCAAATGCCCATAAACATCAGCAATTCTCGGAATAATGGGATCTTAAATTGAATGTTAAGCGTGATAAGATGAGCAATAACTCCTGGGAAAAGCTTGGAAAATCCCGTCGCTTCAGTAGCGAAGTTTCCCGACGCTCCAAAACCCATCACACCGTGCGGATGACAGCCAAATAAATAGTTCTTGGATGGATCCAATTCGTGAGTTTTTACTAGATTCAAAGGAAAGAACTCCACGTAATGTTTCCATATGTTCAAAGTTCGTGTAAACGGGAAAAATCTCCCGCCTTTCTGTGGCGTCTCTTTGTCGACGATGAAAGCCCAGCCGAGGTAAAGTAGAACAAAAATACGAGTGAAAAGATTAAAGTACAACATCAGCAGACATAATAAAATACAAAGAACATGACCAAACATAAATAACGTCGCAACCAGCCACACTATAAACGTCTGACGGCGTCTTTGAACGGGAGTCTTTAAAGGTGCCCATTCGATACCAAAAGCCTTGGTCATGATGGAATTAAAAAGCCGAATTTCGGACTTCTTTTACCAATATTTCAGGTAAGACAATCACGCCAACGCAATGTTCTTTTGTTGACAATATATTGCGAAATTTATTCATATATTCGTGAGGGCTTGCACGCTCACTAGGAAAACAAAGAATTTAAATGCCAGCCTATTTTCGTGTCGTAAATATCTTTTGATATTTTGAACTTTTTCAACTATTTATTTTTGTTTTTTCTTTATGCTTATTTATGACGTCACCTCGTCGCTATGTAGCAAGATGTTTCTAATCAATTGTTCTAATCAATTGTTCTAATTGCTAATTTTCTAGAATTTATTCCAGGAAAAGTTGTGGATAGATGGTTGTGAAATAGGGATTTATTGGAAAGGTATGAATGGGTACAGTAGGGGTAGTACGTACTACCAGTAGCAGTATAGGTTATATTATAATATGCTATGAAACTGCTCAAATTCATTATTGCATTAAAACTGCATTCTTTTCATATGAAAGATTTTGCTCAGCATAATTGTGAACAGTCTATTGTGTAATCATATTTTCCTACATGATACTTCCACAATTAATAGAATTTTATGGAAGTAATAGTTCATTGATTAATAGCATGGAAAACTGGGATCAATATGTTTGGTCCATTGCTCTAATCCACCAGCCATATCCTTTATTGAAACATCAAAGTCCTGGAGAATTTTTTTCAAAATTACAACTGCTCGCTGTGAGTCATTGCCCTGATGACAAACAGCAATAACTAATGAAAAGAAAATTGTTAGAACAAGTTAGCAATAACATAATTAATGTTTTGATATAACCATGCAATATAACCAGAAGATAACCTGGTAGAGATGTTTCATGTTCACTATTAATTCTAGCCAACGTTGTGCTTATTTCTTCTTTAATTTTCACCAGGTTCTTGTTGTTCTCTATATCTCTGATTGGAATGTCTGTTTGGATATTTGTTAAGAAGAAACTGAAATGTGACACTAAGTAATTGGTGAAGTATGAATATTATTTATTGGACAAATATAAGGATACTTAGAAAGTTGTCAGAAGTTTGCAAACAACATATCTCCAACTCAACCCTTGGACGGACATCAACCAATATGTGTGATATATTTTCATCTACCAATTTCTTGTATTCCTTAATGTGAATATGTTTACCAGAAAAGGAAAATATGTTTTTGACACAAGTTATTTTGACTGATTGACATGCATTTTTATATATTTTGAGTACATTACCTGGGCTGAGATCCTACTGATACTTTGCAGGATATCAATATTTCTAGTCTAGAATGATTTGAAAAGCAGTGTGCTGAATAATGTTGGTCTTAAATAAGAATCTTTGACTGGCAATTTTTAGAGGTTGTCTATAAAAACCAATCAACCAAAATTAAATCCATCATTACTTTATCAGAAGCTGCTGTGCCACAAAACTGTTCATAATCTTGCAACATGGTTATTGTTGGCTCATCTCCACAAACAGCACAGTTGTTTTGCCTGCTGCGGAGTCTAATGGTTGTAAATCTACCGTCCAGTGCATCAAATAACAACATTTTCTTATTAAAGGACACTACAAATGTTGTTAAGGAGTGTTTTTGCTGCCTAATTCAAAGATGATCTCAAGATGAAGAATAAAAAGTTGGGACATATTGCAAGGATACCAGGAAGGCCAACTGCAATCTTTATAACTTCTAGAGCTTGTAAGTTGCCAATTATACCTGGAACTAAAGTGCCAATTTACAATCGACATGACTATGTTAATAGTATGATTGATTGATATTAGACTATATAAGGATAAGGATATCAAACAAGGGACTCTCTTTGAATTCAGAAACAAGGCTGACTTACCAACTCCTAGTACACCAGAGTCTGAACAATTCCCTACTGTCTCAGGAGGTGGAGGGATGGGGTAGAGACATCTATAACAGGGTCCATTCTCATAACCAAATGTAGTCAATTGTCCATCAAAGCGAAGTGCACTTCCTGAGACTAACGGTCTTCTCGTTAGTATACATGCATCGTTTAACAAATACCTGGTTGGAACATTATCTGTTGCATCAACTATGATGTCATAGTTTGAGATTATGTCCAGGGCATTAGCACTGTTGAGATGCAATTTATATGTAATTATTTGCACTGAAGAATTCAATTTAGACAATGTCGCTTTTGCTGAATCAACCTTACTCCAGTTAACTTTCAGTTCAGAATGTAAAACCTGTCGATGCAGGTTGTTTAGTTCAACATCGTCGTAGTCAACCAATCCAATGCATCCGACACCAGCCGCTGTTAGGTATATGGCCACAGGACACCCTAATCCTCCAGCTCCAACAATCAACACTGAGGAGTTATTTAGTTTTAATTGTCCTCTTACACCAATCTCTGGCAATATAAGCTGCCTGCTGTATCTCATTATATCTGGGTTGGTTAGTTTTGATTTTGCACCTCTGAATCCTGTAATGTTTTTCACATTACTTGTTGCACCATTTTCCAGTTCTTCCCATGGTATTCCCTATATTGAAAGGACAGGGAAATGTTCATTTAATAGCAAGCAAATAAACTAGAAGAATTGCTCTAAAATCCTAACTTTCTATTCTAACTCCTCTCTAATGTCTTATTTCATGTAATATGCTATGTGTACATATAACAAATTGCAAAATGTATTCCAACAGGAATTGTCCGTCGCACCTTTTCACTTAGAAATTCTTTGATTTGATTAAGCTCCGAAGTCGTTCGTTCAAGTTTTTCAAGTAATTCTTCCACATTTTCTTCTTTTTTATCCTCCATTCTAAAGAAACGCCATTTCAAAACTACACCAAGTTTTTCAAACGAAAAAAAATGAAAATTTTAAACCTTATCGAAAGTACAACATGAAGTATCCAACGCTAATCCAAATCGAATTTATTTTGGGTGACAAATAATACAGAAGAATTCTATTAAATTGTTGTTTTTGGATGATTATCTTCAGAATGGGATGAAAAAAACGTTTGAGTTTCCTGCTTCATATATATATGATGTATTCTCGTCCAGGTAGAGGTGAAAACGAAGAGGATTTGTTGAAAATACAAAAGGAGTTTTTGTCTCGAGGAAGGAATCCAGCTGCTGGTGTTGGACACTCGACTGGTAGCAGATCAGCAGAATTATCAGAGCTGAGAGAGGAAGACGACAGTACATGTGAAAAAAGACCACATGAACGCGATGTTGTACAGCTGCAAGGTACATTTTTGGTTGTTTCAGATCTTGGTGACATTTATCCTTGGATCTTGTAAAAGTGAATGATCTAGCTATTCAAGTCAAAGTGGGCAGTTCCATAGCTGCATGATTTTGTTAATTCTCAAACTGCTTCCCATGTATGAGCTTACTGAGGTATAAGAAATGGACTTTCAATTAGATTTAAGATTATTATCCAGTTGCTCATTATTAAGAAACAGCAAACTTTTACCTTTGTCATCCCCAGAAAATCAATCATCCCAACCCGTAAAACATTAACCCATCAGTCCTTATTCTCTCCTAGGAAGCCTTCTTGACTCCATCAAGAGCTGCTTTGAGTTTCTCTTCAGCTTTCTCTAACTTTGCAAACATTCTTAACTGTGTAGGCACAGAAAATGTTGAAGTGTTTCCAAACATTCCCAGGAAGAAATCCAAGTTTAAAGATAGACATGCCACGCTGCAATCCAAAGTTAGTTATGCTCATTGTGATCTGATTTGTAAATGAAATCCTTAGTAATAAAATGTTCTATATACTTGTTATATAACCCAACAGCAAAATGACAGATCTAGGGATACTAATCTTGATGGGGCAGATCTCTTAGAAAGTAAGTATATTAAAATGTACATAGACTATAGAATGTACAATTGAATATTACAAATACACTGTTTATTTTTATATTTCTGACTTTTAGGTCATGACAAGCATGTTACAGTTTTGCTTTCTAAAGTCATGGTAAGAGGAAATATTCTGTGGTAATCAATAAGAGATGCTAATTTTGCAATGAGTAGTTTGATGTTATACGTTTATAGAATCCAGTTTAAGAAAGTGGTTTTTTAAGATTCAATTGTCTGTTTCTTTTCTATAGGAAAGAGAAACTGAATCCTGTCCTATTGTGATGCCAAGTATCACTCCCAAAGGGTTCCCAACAGTTCTACACAGAGATACAGTAGAATTGTCTACCATGGAGGAACAGGTGGGAATTGTTTAGGAATAACTTTTTACAATTTCATAATTTTTTTCTTGTAAGATATTAAATACCATCATGCACAATTGGTAATTAAATTTCTATAGAGTGGTTCCAGGAAGAGTTTGTTTGCAAAACAGTTTGCAAAATCTGAAGAAAAAGACTTTGGTATATTACCAAGAATGCGACCTATTATCAGGGGCGAAGATGGTGATATTGATGAAGATATGATAGATGATGGTAATTCATACAAACAGTTTTTGTCCCATGTGTTTTCTCCTCAACTATTCCTTTTAAATTAATCTTGAAAACAAACAATTTTGTCACAGATTCACTCTCCTTTTGTCCAACGCTCATCACTGGTGAAGGACTTAATGATGGCGATGCAAACCAGTCAGCTGCAGCTATGGCTGAAATACACAAAATACATGCAGAGAATGTTGAGAAACTCTCATCTATGTCCGAAAAAGAGATTTTGGAAGAACAAGCTAAACTTCAACAAATGCTTGGTAAGACATTCAAGGAGTGATGAATTTGTAGTTGTTTTTTATATACCCTTGTACTCGCCAAGTTGTGTTGAGTTTTATTTTTTAAATGAGGCTAATCAATCATTATATTCTAGATCCATCTATTCTCAAATTTCTCCAAGAGAGGCGGAAACAACAACAATCTACAAGCACCACGAAAGATAACTCCCTTCTCGGGGAAGATGATGAGGGTATAGATACTATGAATCTTGTTGATGATGGAACAGCAGGTGAAAGCCAGGAGAAGTCTAAGGTTGAGAAAGATGTCGAAGGTCTGGTTGGTATGGCAAATGATATTCTGGGAACCAACATTTCTGAGAAGTGGCTGCATATGGATCAAGTTGAACCAGAAAAGTTGGAATGGATGAAAGATCTGCCAAATGTAAAGAAGTCTGGGGTAGGTTCAGGACCACAAAGTTTCACATCTGTCCAGTGCAATCTTTCCCATAATCTAGAGTGTATTAGGTTAGATAATCAGTTCTTATATATTCCACTTAATTCTTGAATCTTTTATCTTTTCATTTATTTGCAGACAAGTGAACAAGCCAGATTTGACTTTAACGGAAACGTTTTGATTGGTGCTGAAGATATTCCAGAATATGTGGGATTGCATCACCATGGCGATGAACCAGAAAGAGCTGGGTATACGTTGGAGGAATTGTTTTTACTCTCAAGAAGTAACTTTTTGCAACAACGTGTGTTGGCCATCAATACTCTAGCGAGAATCATCAAGAAGGTTCGCCGAAAAAATTGAGTTGATTAAACTGCGTTTACATGAGATGGATAATCTGCCTGCCATAGAAAAGAAAATATAAGTGGTGATGGTTGTAGCTAGTATAAAGTTTTTCAACATCATCAAACATTGTTCCATCATTATAACTTGTTTATCTGGCAAATTCATCTTGCAATAAATCCATGAACTCTTCAACGAGTGAACTTCTCAAGCAGACACACCTGGTTGCGTTATGATAGTTCTATTAATCATGACGGAAAATCCATCACTACTAATACTACACACCAATACTACTACAAAACCTGCTAACAATTTTATCATGCATAAATGGTAACCTCAATTCTTCTTCTTCTTCTTCATGTTAAAGGATCGTTGTGGAACGTATCGTGGTCATTTAGATCAGGATTTGCTACCGTTGTTGCTTCAAGCTGGTCTGCCGTTTCTTCTTCGTTGGTCCTTGGATGATAGCACGGACTCTCAGATTGCTGCTTCCGTCAGTTGCTTTAACGCAATGCTTGTTAGCAAACAAGATGAGGTAACAAGGAATATACAAAAAATGTTCATGGAAATTTGGCACCGCGAGAATGGCAAATGCCACATCGTTTCGTTGTGTTTCATAATAAATAATAAAAAGGGAATCTTAGTTAGTTTTTCTGCATTATTTAGACCGTGGCAGATCTATTGTGCTTTGGTTGGTACCGGGGGAAAGAGTTGCCATGTTTGTGTCCACAGGAGATGAAGGATTCTGAAGGAGGCTCGAACAATCTTCCGGATGTTGATGTTGTCAAACACGACTTGATAAAAGTACGAAGAGATATTTTACCCCCGTCAAACATTCAACTAACAAACTGCGAGAAGTGTCTGTGATCTGCATTTGACAACATGAATGTAGTTTGGTAGAATTTAAGACCTTGCCGCTAATCCTATATAGCTAATCTAAGACTATCTAATGTCTCTGAAACCAATCTGTTGTTTTTTTAACTACATTAATGTTTTCTTTTCCAATTTTTCCTGAATTTGATTTCATTTTGCATATTTTCCAGGGTTTGTTGCAGATGCGATTTCTTCCAAGGCTGCGTTATATCCTGGAGGTGTGTCATCCTGCGTCCCCAGTTGTTCTAGATATCCTCGAGATCCTCACCAGGATTTCTCGACACTCGACCGAAGCTGCTCACTGCGTCGCAAAATGCCCTCGACTACTAGAGACAATACTAGTCCAGTTTGTGCCAAGCTCGTGGAAGGCTAGAGAGAGATCAGTTGCTACGACTGATCTCTATGGCCATCCTTTGGCTGAAGCTTTGAAAGTATTCAGAGTTTTATGTTGTGCTGGAAAACATCTTGCAGATACACTGGTAAGTGTAATGACATGTTTCCTATCTCATTATAACCTGAACAGCTGAGGCATAAAGGCCCTGTTACACGGTACAATTTTTCCTGCAACTTGCAATGCAACTCTTCTTTTGAGAGATGTAAATTTGGGAACCACCAAACTTTTGTCTTTATTACACTCCATGGCGTTTCTTACACTTACATTTTGAAGACTCTTCACTAATTTATATCTCTTAAAAGTAGCATTGCATTGCAAGTTGCAAGAAAAATTGCACCGGGAAACATGGCCTTAAGCTATGATCTATCTATGGGCATAAAGGGTGGATATAATGTTCATGTTCTCACTGACCCAAATGTAACGCTAAATATCGCTCTTTTTAGATTACCAAGTACGGTTTGATAACCAAAATTTTACGATTTATAACAGTACCAGCTGAACAAATGATGTTAGACACAACGGAAGCGCTTCAACTAGCTGCAGAGAGTTTAACTATTTGGAGTATTTGTATATCATATGGTTTGTCCTGTGAGAATTTGAGGTAACTTTAATACGGGTTTTTTCAACGTTTTTCTTGCGTTTTTCCAGCCTGGAATAAGTGCTTCTTCTAAAATATCTATCAATGTTTAGTTTTCAGTCAGTTTTTTCTCGTATCTAGCAACGTTTACCCGCATATTCTAACTCAAGTCCAAGGATTGGCCTCGTTACCAGTCTACGATCAACCTCAAGCGAGCACCTCCTGTGCTTGTGCTCTGGTGGATCTTGTTGAAGCCGTGACGCATGTCGCTGGAAACAAGGCCGAACTGCGGGCGCAGTTGACGACTCGGTTCAGTGCAAAAGATAACCATCCCGGTTGCATGGACGCAAGTCATCTCCCCCCGTCCCCTATTGATTGGAGTCATGTGACTGGATTGCTACCTCTGATTGGACACTGCGTTCGACTTTTCAAAGACCAGTTCGTGTCTATTGAGGAGAGGATTGCTAAGGTATCTTTTGATCATTGCTTAAATGATCAAATATTAGAATTAACAACCACAGCACTTCCTGCAAGAGCAAAAGGCAAGCAATATTCCCCGCCTCAGCGCTCTCCTATAGCCCCATGGTTAACCATGCGACCTCAACACGATGTATTTTGCTTTATAGGAAGAATCATTCCTTTTGATGTCGCGAATTTTCAATCTTTTAGCATCGTTTTATGAAAAACTTTCGACCCAGGTACATAAAGCTGCTTTTGCTTTCTGCGTTTTTTCATTTTGAGGTTTTTTTTCAATAGGATTCTTCTTATTTTTCATTTCAGCCGTTTTTTCGCCAGTGGAATGTTTGGAAGAGATCGAAAGCTTTCTAATGAACGAAATTTGTGTCCCCATTCTAGAGTCTAAAACGTTGTCGATTTTGCTGGTTAGAATGAGGTGAGACGCGAAAGGATTTTACTGAGCAAAGATGAGTGGAATAAAGTTGAGAAGTTCTGTCAAGATGTTTTTCATTTGATTGTTTTTTGACCGCGGCAATATTCGGTTATATTTTTGCTTCAGAGTGTTTTAATTTTCTATCTTCTATTGCAACACAGAGTAATAGGAAAATAAGGAAATTTCCTTTGCAGGATCTTAAGATTATGTATCACTTCTTTCAGAGATTACACTTCGTATTTCACGAGGGAAACATCAGCCGCTGATCCGTCACGTATTCCCAATCTTCCTGATTACGGTCGCTGTGCAGGACAGAGTAGTTGCTCAAACCAACCAGATATTCCACGTTGTCTTCACAGAGGAACGCCATTTCCTTTTTTGCTCTCCTTCGCCAGGCTAGCCATGGTCATTACGTCATGTCATAAAGGTCTTGCGAATAAGGTCAGTCGCAAAGGAGTCGGTGGATCGCGGGCTCTGGGCATGCTCCTGCTATTCAATTTTTCTCAATGCTCCTTGATTGGTTATTTTGTAAAAAATTCGTCATTTTTCAATTCTAGTTTTTACCGTTCGTAACGTGTGATACTATCGTCGAATATTTAAAATTAAACTCGACTCCTGGACAAAATGTAAGTGTAGAAAGGTAGTGAATTCAAATATTCTGCCTTGTATAATGCGTCCAGAAATAGTAAGCATTTTCAATCATCACCTTTTCTGTATTTTGTAGAATGGGGAGACTGGGTGTTATTTTATTAAGGTCGAACAGCATTTCCAGTATTTTCTTATCAAACTGTTTTACAATATCGTAAGTATTTCAAGGTTCTCTGCCTGTCTGTCAGGCCTTTCTGTGCAAGAGTATATTTCTGTCCTTCCAACTATCGTTATGTTTCAAGCGCCTGCGAATATGTCAATCTTTATTCTACTTTAGCTTCTTCAAAGTGACATCATGGATGGTGAGCTAACAGCATTGTATCACACGACAAGTTTGCTTCTCTTTTCGCGGCTGTTTCCTGGGGATGAATTTTATGCTCACGATCTTATGTCTCTTGTCCTATTCAACGCTGCTCTCTTTCAGTAAGTTTCTCTGACGCGTCCTGGAATCTCCAGGTTTTGGAGGATCAGAACGACGGTTCTCGCGACGGTTGATGTGATTTCTTTCTTTCAGCGAGAGCAAAGATGAATGCGCAACAACAATAGCATCAAACTTATCCGAAATGGGAATCGAGTCATCTGCCGCGATGAAAGATGTTCCTTCAAACAAGCAGAAGTCATTCTCGCGCGGAGAGCTTCTTTCAGAAGCGTACAAAGATTTGCTGTCCATTCGTTCAACGTTCATATCTTCTTTTGCACAAATGAGACACGCGTTAGCAAAATCCAGGTAATTTTGCAGAGATATGAACTGAATTGACATCAATGAACTGAACTAGTTCATTCCTTCAACTCCCGACCTGTTTTCGCGAGAACAACAACCAAATCAGCTGATTTCTCCTTTCATCTATCAAGAGCTCACAGCCTTCATCAGCCTCAGAACATTACGTCATTTCTACTGCCGCTTGTTGATGGTACAATGCTGCCCGCTGATTGGATGTTTCTTCCTTTAGTCGATCTTCATAATACCGCTGTTAAATCGTAAGTTTGTTGGCTCAGTCCTATTATTAATGTCCATCATGTCGGAAGCAAGCTCATAAACAAACCTTTTATTTGCAGCGAATTGCTGTCCAAACCACAACAGGATCGCCTCACAAGCGCATCAGGTTCTATCGTGAAACGAACATTGCAATGGGTTCTTCTGCTTGAAGAATGGCGACCGGTAGTCTTACATAAAGTAACGACCACGGCAAAAGTAGTGCGGCTCATGTGCACTTTTCTTACAGGTGAAAACTCGTATCTTTTGTGTAAAGATTCTTTCTGTGGGATTCCATTTTGATTTTCTCTCGTTCTTCAGGTAGTGATTTATTTCTGGACAACCTGATTCATAATTACCTCAAATCATTGCTCCATATTTACACTCATTCCTCACAGTTGGCCCCTCTCGATTTCAACTCAGCTATACCAGGAATTACTTCGTTCTACGATCTGTAAGTATAGGCAATGTTAACACTGCAGATGAATGCATGAGAGACTACTAATAACACCTCATGTCCACAATTCAATTTCCTTAAACGTTCAAGCTTAATAAAGTTAGTTGAAAATTGAAATGTTTCTTTCAGATTCATCTCGTTCGTTACCCAGTATGAAGCTGTGTCGTTTGGAGACAAACTCTTCTCCTCTTTTCTAATTTTGCCCTTACAACAACGATACAACAACATGTTTAGAAAAGCTGTTTGGAATGATCATACAGGCGTGTTCAGGTCGTTTGGCTTAACTTTTGACGACGTAAGTTACGATATCAGAAACATGATGATCCAGTCTAGGTACCATGCAGCAACTTCCTAGTAATGGCCTATTCTTACCCAATAGTTGTCCAAAATTTACGAAAGATACCTTCATAAAGATCAATTTATAACAACTTCAGGATAGCATTGATCTTACGTAGCAATGGCATTATATATTTATATATTTGCAGCTAACAATTCCTGTTGAGTATTTTCTATTCCCGTCTGAATCCAGTTTTGAAATCTTAACACTGCAACTACGGGCACTGGCTCAGGCGCTTTACGGTAAGAAAACAGCAACATTTGGCTGTAGTAATTTATCAGACTATGATTTCAATGTTACTGCGCAGTAATAAAGAGTTTCCCCCCGCTTTTTAGCCAAAATTGGTCTTCAATCTTTTATTTAATCGCTGTGCATCATTTATCAAGTTACATTTTCACAAAACCAGAGGTAAACATTTACTCGAATGGTGAATACTTAAATCTCATGAAATTGAACTCCATGGGTATAACAGAGTGTATAGGAAACGAATCAGATTTTGTTTTTTACTACAGAACTTGAATTCATTCAATCAGAAATTGAAGCTTATGAATCAAGTTTTACTCCTACAAAACCAGGTATGAATAGACCTTTTTCATAATGACGTCAAACGCGGAAAGTCTGATGTTTCACGAAGTTTGATTGGCTCAATAGTTTTGTGGAGCCAATTAAATTTCGTGTAACATCAGACTTTCCGCGTTTGACGTCATTATAAGAAAGGTCTATTGTGATATATTTTGCCAGATGAAATTCTTTGTTGAGTTGTCTTTGAGTTTGAACGTTCTCTTGTTTATGTTCAAGGATGTTAGAAATGACGTCATTTTGTATCACAAACCATCGTCAGATCATCCGAAAGGATTTCAAGTCTTCTCTGCCCTTCCTCCGACACGTGAGCTGTTGCTGAGATATAAAAATGAACCCGAGGAAGCTTGGGGAGTCTGGAACCAAACTGCGTAAATTGATAGACTGGGTTTTTGGTTTATGATTAAATTAGATATTGTAAATAGAATCACGCGGTTCGTGTAAATAGTCATCCGTTGTAAAAGGCCTTGGTTCTTCTCCAATCCAGCCTTTGCTCCTTGAACAATGCAGATTAATGTTGTATTTCCTAAAGGCGCTGTTACACTACACCATTTTTCTTCCAACTTACAATGCATTTATAATGATGTTTATTGGTATGCTAAGAAAACGTTAGCAGATCGTAAGACATGTTCGTATTTGTCAACTTTAGATGTCTCAGGAGTAGAACTGCGTTGCAAGTTGCAAGGAAAGTTGCATAGTGTAACAACACCGCCTTGATTAACCATCGCGCACAAGATTATATTGGCAAGAATTGATGGTTGTGTTTTCGAGTCTGATTTCCATCCAGTGCAAAATGTCTTGTATCAGGGTAGTCCAAGGTGTGTTTTAATAGAACGGCAATACGCATGCGTGCGTTAACCACTCGTCAACACCACTTGAGTCAACACAATGTCAGTCAATCGAATTCCAAATAAACAATTAGAACTCCTTAAACTAGTTCCAGTCCTTGTTTTAGTCACGCGAGATAAACGTCAAACCATGAAAATTGGCATTTATACTTCTAAAAGTATTTTGTGAAATAAAAGGTTATGGCTGAAAAAGGTTTGTAGAAATGAATATTTTACGATGACTTTATTATTGTAAAGATGTTTAACTCCACTTTATTATTCACAAACTCTCAAGATTTGAAGAAATGGACGACATTCTTTCACGAGGCTGGGATACCAAGGGGACCAGCAAGCGAGTAAGTCACACAAAGAAATAATGAAACCTAAATCAAACACCTGTAAAACTTCGCTCATTTCGACTTTATTCAGTGTTACACTTAAGATAGTTTGTTGCAAGCTTATTATAGATATTCTAAACCTATTATATATACTTATTATTTATCAGTTTGATCTCGTTGTATATTGCATTGTTTGATCTTGTATATATACAGTTTTATCAATCGCTTTGACTAGTTTGCTGATCAAGTAAATGTATTCTAGGTATGCAACGTTGTTTTGTAACCATCGACTTAAAGATGATTTGCTTGCTGATTTAACCAAGGTGAAGCCCCAAATTATTTTATTAGGTTGAAGCAGGATCAAATATGTGCTCCAATATCTTTCATAGTAGTGTGTAAAAGTGTTTGTACACTAAGAGTATAAGAGGTTATTCACTTCCAAGTTTACAGGCCTTTGCTCAAAATTTCTTCAATTTTCCAGTGGCTTTATCTTTGATTCTTGTTATTCAGGAGATCCTTAATGATATCGGAATTACTGTGATGGGTGATATTATGTCAATTTTAAAGCATGCTAGAGCTGTATATGCAAAGGTAGTTACTATTTCTACAATGTAATGTGGATTTCCACCATATAACAGTTCTTAGAAACAAATATTTCATTGTTTATTTTTCAGCTTGAAAGAGAGAAAACATCAAATCAGTTGGTTGACAGCCCAAAACCTCTTGACAGATTAACAAATGATGATCCTCCAATAAAGACAACAACTCTTATAAAAAAGAAAAGTTGTTGCCAAGCCTTCACTCAAGCCCAAATCAGGTGAGAATTCAGCCTCTTCAGCCTTTGAGTGGAGATCATAGATTTGAATAGGGGACATAGATTTGAAGTATACAATTATGAATTTGTTTCTTTTTCAGATCTTATAGAAAAAGAAGCTCCAACATCAACAACAATCCAAAAACAAATTCCAACAACACAGCCTAAAATCACTGTTACTGTTGGTGATCCACCAGTTGCAGCTAAAAAGAAACCTGCGAAAACTAGAATGACATTGTCAGAGAGGTTTGCCAGCGAACAAGTCCCACAACCAAAAGTTCCCCAGGTGTCACTGGGGAGAAGTGATTTGGCTGAAACTGTTGCAGTTAAAAAAGTTCTTGCAAAATCTAAGCCAGCCACGGAAAGATTGCCACCCAATAATAAAGGTATTCCTTAGACTGTGTTTTTGAAATTTATTATATATAGTCGGCCATTTCTTTCAAGGTATATTTGTTCAATTTCACACTTTGTAACACATGTCTGGTTTGTTTCACAGGGGCTATAAACATGACTTCAGTTAAACGAAAGTCTGCATTCGAACGACTTGGAGAAGATGAAGCAAGCAGTCTGTCAAGACACATGGAAGATTTATCACCTAAAATTAAAATCACAAACTTGCGAAACCACGAGTTAAATCACCACCTAGTAAAGTGATCTCTTTGGTCAAGGTTAGTTAAAACTTGCTTTTTATGTCTGACGAAAAACAAACATTTTAACAATCAATGTAATCATTCCAGAATAATGAAAGCTCAGTTTTCAAACGCCTTGGTGAAACAGACCAACCGCCAAATTTGGCTTCAACAATGCGTACAGATGCTCTTACTATACATGCAATCAGAGGAGCTGGTTCACGCATTGTCTCAGATGATCCAGAAAAACCTGCGAAATCCCAGAGTGTATTACGGCCATTGAAACCCATCCGAGCTGTTCAGCCAGTCAAGCCAGTGTCATCAGTGAAGGCCCGCATATCAGACAATACGACAAAGGAATCTAGCAGAAAGTCTGTGTTCTCAAGACTGGGTAGCTAAACCTGACTGACAAGATTTTAAAATGGTTGAATCGGTCAAACCGTTTTTAGAGGAGGTTTAAGTTATAGTCTCTTGATAGATGTCTACAATGTTTAAACAGCAACAAATTGAATCATTCCTGTTAACTAAGCAGCAAACTGAAAGTAACCAGAAATATATTATTTTTTATTCACATTCTATTTGACACAGATCTTTATATTACATAATAAACACCGTCTTCATCATCATTGCTTTAACAACTCTTCATTGAATGACACAAGCTTCCGAGCCTGGTGTGTTCTTTTGTCCTAAACTTCTTGCAAGATACAATACTTGCATCCATTCTTGTAGCTCTGATTCCGTTTCGGCACAAAGGAAATACTTTCTCTGTGTGTCTTTTGGCTTCAGACAGAATGTGAAGTTTTTTGATTTTATTTCACATGTTGCAATTTCACATGAATCTAGTACAAAGGATTTAGATGTATCCTATAAAATTTAAGAGAATATCTCATGGACAATTTTGTGAAAATGTCTTGGGCAGGCAGTCATGTTTAAAATTTATGTTTGCAAGAAGAAGGGCACAATTCGTTGACCCACAAAACCCACATGTTTATAAAACAGTTAAATATTAATAGACCCATTTTTACCCTGTGTTCAATTCTGTTCAAATCATGAAATGCATAGTTTCAAGTTTAGAATTCACAAACTGGTATGGATATTCAAAGTTTTTCATGTTTTTTTATGCACTTATAACGCTAAACATGCAAGATATCGATCAAAACTATCAACTTAGTAATGTAAACAAACAATTGGCTTCGGTTCAAAAACACTGCTTACATCAGGAGAGTCGCCATAATATAAAGTTCTTTCTTTTAGTGAAAACCATTTCTTTTCCCATTGCTTCGAATGCTTCGTTCTTTTCAACAACCATCCCGATTTTTCCGTTGCCTCAGCGCCAGTTTCGCCTGTATTAGGGCTTGATGAAACATTATCTACTTCGCATTCCTTGTCTGCCGCCATATTGAAACATGTTATTCTAACACTCATATGACATTGAAATTCCTCAAAAGCAGGAATTCAATGACTAAGAAAGAAAATAATCAACGATGTGAGAGAAGGAATTCTTGGGAAAACTAAGGAAGTTTGAAAGGTTTTCGCATCCTTGCGAGGAATCGTCATCTACGTTTAGCTCCATGGCGGACGAGACGGATCAGACGGACGAATGGCTTGATTTTTCTTCGTCTTGTTTTGAAAACCAGGAAACGCTTTTCGAGGCGAAGGATGAGGAAACACAAGATCCTGAAGAAGACCTAAAGCATGAAATAAACGGCTTTAGCAAGCTTGAAGATATCCATGAACTATTGAAGCAATCACTACCAGACACCTCCGTCACAACACATGTGCGTCAGAAAACAAGTTCTTCCCAATGCACTTCAGATATTTCGGCTCTAAACGAGTCATGTAAACATTGGTAGGTAATATATTGCTTTATGACAACGCGTACTTTACAGAAATATATCAAAAGCTTGGATTGCTGACGCTAATTTATCTGATTAAATTGTTATGTCTATTTTATTTGACAGGATTTGGGTCGAGTTAATTTCCAAATTAAACGCAGTTCGCCAGCCAAAATGGATGGGTTCCTGTTTAGAGGAGTGCTTTTGTCGTTCTCTACAGGTCTCGAAAGATTTAGTAAGTAATGCTTTGAAAGCACGACTCTATGGATTTGTTTGAAATATTTGAATGAACATGTAGTATAGTATAATTTGAGCTTAATTGTCAATCATTCAATTCCGGATATAAAACGGGGCATTTTATACAATATAAGTATTAACAGATAAAGTTACAGTATTGGATGAGGCAGGACAACAAATAAAATAACTGTAAATTGATGTATCCTGGTTAAAAACATGCAGTTTCAACTTGAGAATCTTCTGCCATAGATTTTGCATGTAATCTCTCATGTTCAATGGGATGTTGCATAAGTGCCATCTGTTTTGACTTTCCCATTATCTGATGCACCATAGGGCACAAATTTTAGTAACAGAATTTGATTTCTCTTTTCTAGAATGAAAAAGAACAGCCACAAATAGAATCTGATCATTCTTGCAAAGACTTCTTTAATTTCCACAAGATTTATCAACTAATAAGGTACCTTATAGAACGAATGATTCTGATATTGAACTAATAAATAGAGATGACAGTATACAGTCCGTTGAACTCACTGACACTGTGAAGGAAGAGTTGACAAAATCGTTAGATGATAATTTTGAGGATATTGATGCCGAGTTAGAATGGTCAGATAACGATGTGAAGGACAATACCTCGTTAAGCAATGCATCTTTGTCATCCTCGGGAATAAATGAGAACGAGGCGACTGCAGGTATTATTGTTTATTTTGACCATGCTGAGGTAATTTGCTTCTCATAATAGATAGTGAACAGTTAAACTGAGCAATTCTATTTTGATGTAGAGCTGGTTTGCCTTCCATATAAAGAGGTTCTCCATCTCCGGGATGAACTGAGAGACTACACAAAACAATATTCGGATATTCTTGTAGTGGAACTGGAGAACCGGGATGCCTACATAAGAGAAAAAGAACTAAAAAATGACTTTATATCAAGCTTTTTATCAGTTCAAGAAAAACTAAGAGAAGTTAATTCAACAACGAGCAAAAAGAAGTTTTCTTTACAATCTAGCAAGCAAAACAACCCCCCAAATAGCCAGGTTTGTATTGATTTATGAACTTATATTCTAGTAACTCAATTTGCTTTGCCATTAAGAGATGGAAGCCAACCCACCAGGGTAATACCCATCAGCAAAAGCTGTTATCAATGGGCACCCTATTCCATTTCAAATATTCTATTGATTAGTTTATCCTTCCCAAGAACAAATAAAATATGATTTTACCTTTTATATAGAGCTTAACAACAATACCATATGAAATTAAGAATGGTGGTCCAAGTATTGATATTTTGGAGAAACTCATTGAAAGTAGGTTTTCAGCAATAGGTAAAAAATTACAATAATTGATATATTTCATCATGGGAAATTGTGATAAAATATCTTGTTTATTTTTCTGTAGTTATGGAGGCAATGAAGACAAATAGTCCTAATGTCCCAACACTTCTAACAAATTATATTCTCAATGGTATGTTTTACTTTGCCTCTGAGTGCATTGCATATTTATATAGGTTATACTAACACCCTCTATGTTCCTTTAGTATTGTGCAAATAATGAACAATGGTGTCTCCATAAAACTTGGTACAAGTTTTTGCCTGGAGCAAATTGCTGGAAAACATGCTGTGTGTGTGGCCAGTCTGATTGAATTTTAGGCTGCGACTATATGTGCTGGCCATACTGACCTTTTTTAAATGAATTGAGAAATAATAAATTAATTGGACAGAATGATTTGTATTTAGTGGAATTAGGATGAATTATGGCAGGTTTAGGTAAAATTATAGAGTTTGTACAAAGGAGATTTTGTAAAGCATAGTAATATATACTTATCCTTGTAAATAATTTTGTATTTTTTATAACTATAGCAAAATAAATCTATTTTATTGTATATTATTTCGCTGTTTTTTATGATGTTGATTGCGGTCATTTATTGGATTTCTGTGTTTGCTCCTGTTATTCTGATTGCTTTTCATCTGCCAGAGACTAGCATCTTCCAAAGGTGATTTATGTTGCATTGCTTTCTATAAAATAAACATCCATGTTTAACAGTGAAAATTATTGTCAGTGCCCTTCATTTTTATAGACAAGTGTTCCTGTCAAGTACCTTGATCTGTTCCATGATGATAATTTCTCGATTGTGGCTTAGAAAACTGGTCACCCTTGGTGAGGCGTTCGACTTCATCCCAAGCCTTCCTGTCCGCCCAAGACGATGCACATAATCCACTACACTCACAGGAAAGTCAAAGTTGATCACATGATTAACCTAAAGATGAGATGATGGTATTGTAAATATACAATTACAGGGAAAATTTATGAGATACTTTGGAACTCTTCAAGGAGTAAACCAAAAAAACTGTCGATACACCTTTCTACAATCGCCAACTTTCACCTACATTAGTGGTATCCAGTCCTCTCGAAGCAACATTAGTACACACAAGAATAGGTGTTTCTGTTGTTTTAAAATTTTCAAGATGCAACCTTCGTTCCTAAAAAATACCATTTCATCCATTTCATTTGGAGCCAAAGATTTTTTTAACATGCTCAAAAGATTTTAACCTTTTTAGTCATGTTTCCATTCAGTCGTATTTGTGGTACTCCCCGTTCCTCAAGAAAATACGATGTCCAATCACAGCTTTTTGTTGTGTTGCAAAAAACCATAATTTTTTCTCTTTTGTGTCAAATCCTGTGAGACTATCTGTAGTAGCAACTCTGTAATAATGAGTTGCAATGTTGGATTTTATTTGAATTTCCAGGTTTCATGTTCTGTTATAATTAAAATCTCTTACCGCTCTTTTTGTGCTGGGAAATTTTTACAAACTTCTGGGAAATGTGCGGTAAAATCTGATGCATGCCAGAGTTGCAGATGGAGAGGTTCTGAAATAGAAAAAATCATAATGTGCTATTCAGGATTTGCGAATGATCTGCAGACTTGTTTCATTTTGTTTGTATTTCATCTCACACATACTGGAATGATTTGACTCAGTGTTCTAAGTATCTCGCGGTACTGTTGTCGTAACAAACACTGTCTGTAGAAGCTGTTCACTTTCCTTCCAGGAGTTCACCTGAAAATTTCAATTGAGATAAAGTAAGTTATAGTCAAACTTCATTGATCCAAAAGATTTGAAACTCATTATGGAATCAGAACTACAACAGTGCATTTTTTAAAAGCATTTTTCAAAGAAGAGTTGTCATTGTAGTTAGCAACATACTCCTGCATATTTTAAAATTTCCAACGCCATGGATGCAAAACTTGGATCAAACATTGTGTCTGCTTCATCAAACACCAGATGGGATAAATCAGACAAAAGAATGTCACCTAAATAGAAATTATTCAAGGTAACTTAACTAAGGTTGAGTGTTGCTAGTGTTTTGTCTCTGGCCACCTGGATCATGTTTATTATTATTAAATGTATAAACACTGGTTGGTGTACCTTTTTGTAAATATTGAAGAAGTACATGTGGTGTGGCCACCACAATATCAACTGCCTCTGATAATCCTTCATGTATCCATTTCTTAAACAAAAAGAGCTTTTGTACAGACAAGTTTTAATGCTGCTCCAAAGTTGCATTTTTTCAGTGGTGTAAAATATTCACCTTTTTTCTTCCACTGATCAAACCAAGGGATCGCAACTTCGTGAAATGGCTGAGATACTTAACATCTCTCTGAAACAAATGGAAAAAGTGCAGTAAGTGTTAGTACAGTTAGACAGATCAATTGACACATTCGTGTTTGTAGCCACCAGACAAACACTTGAACTATATTTGAATCATACCAAAATCTGCATAGAAAGTTCTCGGAATGGTACCACAACACAAGTGCGTGGTCTGCTTGGCCTTGACACAACACCTTCTATATCTTCCTCGTTTTTCAATAGATGGATGATTGGCAAAAGATAGGCAAGCGTTTTTCCAGATCCTTGTAAAAGTAAAGCACTTGAATTTGTATTCAGGATTTCTAAAACGTCTCTGCAAAGTAGAAAACAAGTGAATCCTACCTGTATGAGATGTACAGAGAATGTTGTGACCATGCAGGATTGCTGGAATGCTTTGGACCTGATTTTTGTGTGTAATATATGAGATTAAACTGCATTGAGATGAACCGGATTGTTTCAAATGTACTAAAGGTATATTACCTGGATTGGTGTTGGATGCTCAACGTTCAGGGTTTTTATAGCATCACATAAATCTTGTTGCAAACCAAGATTGCCAAAATCTGATACATTATTGATACCATGAAGTGCAGGGTGCTAAAGAAACATGATTGTTTTCTGTATGTATGCATGCTGTCATTAATGCAATGGACCTAAACAACATAAAACCACTCACATCCTTTGAAAATGCTTTTAAAAATGTTTCCATTGGTCCTTTATTAATGCTCTCAGTTTTGACTGGAACATCTCGTGCGGATCTTCTCTTATGGGAAACTCTTACTTGAGAATGTGCTGTTGCTAACCATCTGGACTGTTTCAAAGTGAAATGTCGTGAGAATAAACATTTTTTTGAAATGCCATCTATCCACTGATTAATTATTGTTATTGGAATTATGGAATTATGAAAGATGGGAAACAAGTTTCTGCAGACTGTAATCAGTCTATTGAAGTAAACCCACAAACCCTCAGGCCTCATGTGTGGAAATAATATTTAGCAGAAATAATAATTAACGGAAAGGTCTGTAATTAACATGAAATGCGCGATAGGGCATAGGCCCATAGAAGTAAAGCCGTATGTTTTTTCCAAAGATAATTTTATAATGGTCATAGAAAGCTACAAAGAAAATCACAGTTGTGTTATCTACCTTTACGTAAGAATCAGAAATTTTGCGAATTAGTTTTGTCGAACGCATACTAGCGCATTTCTTCTTTCCTAGTCTCCTTATTTTAGTTATTTATTCTTTCAATTTTCATCCAGTCCACTCGTTTCTTCTATTTAGTCCAGAGATTTAGTCTCGTGAGGATAAATTCCATTGCTCAAAATAACTTTACGAGGATTTCCGACAAAAAGTGTCGCAGTTTGCGGCGTGTTGCAATTTTTGAATTCAAAATACTAGTTGGATACAATGGCTGCTTTCGAGGTGTCAACTTTTATTTTAGCCGTCCTTATAAGTGTTGCTTTGATATTCTTCGCTGTGTGGAATGTAAGTTTTTTCTTCTCGTTTTTTTGGTGAAATATCGAAGTTCGAACTTGTTCGGTATTTCTTGGTACTTAATTCACATTTGCTGATATGCACTTTCTAATTTTCTAGATTATTTCATTTGATGATTTGAAAACGGATTATAAAAATCCTGTCGACCTTTGCAACAGTTTAAATCCTGTAAGCGTGATTTGTATTTCATACAGTCGCTGGCAGGCTTTAGCTAAAGCTAATTATTATTTCTAGTGTACTCGTTAGCATTTTATTAATTGACATTTTAATCTACATGATTCGTCTGTACTTAAAAAGGTTGTTTATCATCATTTAGATCTCTCATCAATCTGACTTTTTCTTCATTTCAGTTAGTACTGCCAGAATATGGCCTCCACTTATTTATATGTCTGTTCTTCCTTGTTGGATTTTTTTGGACATCATTGATTTGGAACATGCCACTAATTGCATATCATGTTCACAGGTCTGATTTATCATTTTGTTACCTTTGGCAAAGAATTATAATATCCTAAACTTCAAAAAAATGCCATTTGTATTACAAGTTCATGCAAACTACAAGAAAAACATACTCCGAAAAAGACTTCTTATGAGCTAGATATGAGCTATAGACTAATATTATATTCTGGTTTGACAATGACTTTGAAATAAGGTCGAAATATCACCTTAAAATCTTCTCTTTTTGTCTATAGCTCATATCTTCAGTTTACAAGATGTCATTTTTCGAAGTATGATTTTTCTTGTACTTTATCAAATTGTCTGCTGGTAATGGTTTTTCATGCAAACTACTTGCTCAAATGAAAAAAGAAACCACACCCGATGGATCACTTCTGTTCTACACGCTTTTCTTACACATCACGCAGGCGGTGGACCGTCTGCCATGCAGGCTACAGGGTATCACAAAAATTTTCAGAGAAATTCTGATACTGTTCGTGACAAACTGGTCGAAAAATTTCTCAGCCATCTAGACCACCTATGATTGTACCTAAAGTCCTAAACATTCTGCAAAGCACTCTCAATTGTCAACCATTGCATTTGTTTTGTATTTTTCAGATATATGAACCGACCAGTTATGAGCAGACCTGGTTTATATGATCCTACTATCATTATGAATGGCAGTGAAATGTCTCGTTGTCAAAAAGAAGGATGGGTCAAACTTGCTTACTATCTTCTTAGCTTTTTCTTTTATCTGTATAGGTGAGTGTTTACAATATGTTTGCCTACGCTTATATACAATTTTGCCTGACATAGTATTTATTAACTCTTAATTCTTTTTATTTCTGCCTTTTTTTAAGGATGATGAGTGCGATTCTCGCGTAGCCAATGTTTTGTTGAACTCTTTTTTTGTGCAAAGGCAAAGAATGACAAAGACAGATTTCCAAGAGTTTTGTACATTTCATCGATCGAACTACAGTCATTTAAAGCACTTTAAACTGAAAATAAGGTTAGACATTTAGTTTACTATAAATACAAAAACAGTTATGACTTATGTAGTAGTGCTGCACTGTTTAGAATCCGTTCAAAACAAAAACGTTCAATCTTTATCTAACTTTTTTGGCACTAATTTTCCCCCATGTTTACCCCCACCATGTTATTTTACAACAATATATGTATTGTTTATGAAATTCGTAACGTTTTATGATTTTATTACAACGGAACTGTGCTAGAACAGGCTTAACAGCTGGACACAATTGTTTTTATTTATTTTTTTCTTGTGGTCCGAACTATTGTCTGAACTCCGAATTCATATTTTAGCGTTTTCTGCAATCTGATTGGCTACACGAGCGGTCCATATTGTCCATATGAGGCAGTACGGACCGCGCGACATTTAAAAGCGCAGAGCCAACGCTAAAATATGAATTCGGACGGCAAGAAAAAGATAAATTTATTATTTACCAGTTAAGTCGGTCCCTATAAGGAAATATTTCCCTCCCTCTCAAAAACGTCCTTCGGCCTCCCCTTACCCTTACCATTTTGGTCAAAATTGACGACTTTTTCAATGTTCGAAAAACCAACTAATATTATCTAAAAGTAAATATTATCTAAAAAAAAATTAAATGAAAGATGTTAGTCTTAGGAAGATATTTTTAGAATTTTAAGACAGTTTTTGAACCATTCAAAAAGTCGTCAAAATTGACCAAAATGGTAAGGGGTAAGCTTTACCATTCTGGTCAAAATTGACGACTTTTTCAATGTTCCTAAAACCAACCAAATATGCTCTAAAATGAAAGATATTAGTCTTACAAAACCATTTTTAGCACTTTAAGACAGTTTTTGAACAGTTTAAAAAGTCATCAAAATTGACCAATATGGTAAGGGTGGTAACCCATACTGCCTTTCTTTGTAAATCGAGTTTGTCAAACTGCTTGCTCTGGAAAAATGTTTGCATCTTGCCTTTAACTCACAATTGAAAATACTCCAAAATTCCAGTCGAAATTATCAATGATAAACACCATACTGCCTAAGGCTTACCCTTTACCATTTGGTCAATTTTGACGACTTTTTCAACGGTTCGAAAAGTGTCTTAAAATGTTAAAAATGGCTTCCTAAGACTAATATCTTTCATTTTAGATCATATTTGGTTGGTTTTTGGAACATTGAAAAAGTCGTCAAAATTGACCAAAATGGTATAAGGGTAAGTCTTACCATTTTGGTCAAAATTGACGACTTTTTAAACGGTTGGAAAAGTGTCTTAAAATGCTAAAAATGGCTTCCTAAGACTAATATCTTTCATTTTAGATCATGTTTGGTTGGTTTTTGGAACATTGAAAAAGTCGTCAAAATTGACCAAAATGGTATAAGGGTAAGTCTTACCATTTTGGTCAAAATTGACGACTTTTTCAATGTTCGAAAAGCCAACCAAATATTATCTAAAATGAAAGGTATTAGTCTTACAAAACCATTTTTAGCACTTTAAAACAGTGTTTGACCAATGTGGTAAGGGGTACGACACTGCCTTTCTTTGTCAATCGAAAATACACCAAAATTCATGTCGCAAAAGCTCCATAACCTATGATGAATAACGTCTGCATCGTTCCAAAGAAGTTCAAACTGCTTGCTCTGGAAAAATATTTGCATCTTGCCTTTAACTCACAATTGAAAATACTCCAAAATTCCAGTCGGAAGTGCTCCATAATCAATGATAAAACACCATACTGCCTAAGGCTTACCCCTTACCATTTTGGTCAATTTTGACGACTTTTTAAACAGTTGGAAAAGTGTCTTAAAATGCTAAAAATGGCTTTGTAAGACCACTATCTTTCATTTTGGAGCATATTTGGTTGGTTTTGGAACATTGAAAAAGTCGTCAATTTTGACCAAAATGGTAAGCCTTACCCCTTACCATTTTGGTCAATTTTGACGACTTTTTCAACTGTTCAAAAACTGTCTTAAAATGCTAAAAATTGCTTCCTAACACTAATATCTTTCGTTTTAGAGCATATTTGGTCGCTTTTTGGAACGTTGAAAAAGTCGTCAATTTTGACCAAAATGGTAAGCCTAACCCCTTACCATTTTGGTCAATTTTGACGACTTTTTCAACTGTTTAAAAATGGTCTTAAAATGCTAAAAATGGCTTCCTAACACTAATATCTTTCACTTTAGAGCATATTTGGTTGATTTTTGAAACATTGAAAAAGTCGTCAATTTTGACCAAATGGTAAGCCTTACCCTTACCTTTTGGTCAATTTTGACGACTTTTTCAACGGTTCGAAAAGTCTCTTAAAAAGCTAAAAATGGCTTCCTAACACTAATATCTTTAATTTTAGAGCATATTTGGTTGCTTTTTGGAACATTGAAAAAGTCGTCAATTTTGACCAAAATGGTAAGCCTACCCCTTACCATTTTGGTCAATTTTGGCGACTTTTTCAATGTTCAAAAACTGTTTTAAAATGCTAAAAATTGCTTCCTAACACACTAATATCTTTTATTTTAGAGCATATTTGGTTGCTTTTGGAACATTGAAAAAGTTGTCAATTTTGACCAAAATGGTAAGCCTAACCCCTTACCATTTTGGTCAATTTTGACGACTTTTTCAATGTTCAAAAATGGTCTTAAAATGCTAAAAATGGCTTCCTAACACACTAATATCTTTCATTTTAGCATATTTGGTTGCTTTTTGGAACCTTGAAAAAGTCGTCAATTTTGACCAAAATGGTAAGCCTACCCCTTACCATTTTGGTCAATTTTGGCGACTTTTTCAATGTTCAAAAACTGTCTTAAAATGCTAAAAATTGCTTCCTAACATAATATCTTTATTTTAGAGCACATTTGGTTGCTTTTTGGAACATTGAAAAAGTCGTCAATTTTGACCAAAATGGTAAGCCTAACCCTTACCATTTTGGTCAATTTTGACGACTTTTTCAACTGTTCAAAAATGGTCTTAAAATGCTAAAAATGGCTTCCTAACATAATATCTTTCATTTAGAGCACATTTGGTTGCTTTTTGGAACATTGAAAAAGTCGTCAATTTTGACCAAAATGGTAAGCCTTACCCCTTACCATTTTGGTCAATTTTGACGACTTTTTCAACTGTTCAAAAAGTCTCTTAAAATGCTAAAAATGGCTTCCTAACACTAATATCTTTACTTTAGAGCATATTTGGTTGATTTTTGAACATTGAAAAAGTCGTCAATTTTGACCAAATGGTAAGCCTTAACCCCTTACCTTTTGGTCAATTTTGACGACTTTTTCAACGGTTCGAAAAGTCTTAAAAGCTAAAAATGGCTTCCTAACACTAATATCTTTATTTTAGAGCATATTTGGTTGCTTTTTGGAACATTGAAAAAGTCGTCAATTTTGACCAAAATGGTAAGCCTAACCCCTTACCATTTTGGTCAATTTTGACGACTTTTTCAACTGTTCAAAAATGGTCTTAAAATGCTAAAAATGCTTCCTAACACTAATATCTTTCATTTTAGAGCATATTTGGTTGCTTTTTGGAACATTGAAAAAGTTGTCAATTTTGACCAAAATGGTAAGCCTACCCCTTACCATTTTGGTCAATTTTGACGACTTTTTCAACTGTTCAAAAATGGTCTTAAAATGCTAAAAATGGCTTCCTAACACTAATATCTTTCATTTAAGCATATTTGGTTGCTTTTTGAAACATTGAAAAAGTCGTCAATTTTGACCAAATGGTAAGCCTTACCCTTACCTTTTGGTCAATTTTGACGACTTTTTCAATGTTCAAAAACTGTCTTAAAATGCTAAAATGCTTCCTAACACTAATATCTTTCGTTTAAGCATATTTGGTTGTTTTTGAAATTGAAAAAGTCGTCAATTTTGACCAAATGGTAAGCCTTACCCCTTACCTTTTGGTCAATTTTGACGACTTTTTCAACTGTTCAAAAAATGTCTTAAAATGCTAAAATGCTTCCTAAGACTAATATCTTTCGTTTTAGAGCATATTTGGTCGCTTTTTGGAAGTTGAAAAAGTCGTCAATTTTGACCAAAATGGTAAGCCTACCCCTTACCATTTTGGTCAATTTTGACGACTTTTTCAACTGTTCAAAAAGTCCTAAAATGCTAAAAATTGCTTCCTAACTAATATCTTTCGTTTTAGAGCATATTTGGTTGGTTTTTGAACGTTGAAAAATCGTCAAAATTTTGACCGAAATGGTAAGGCCTACCCTTACCATTTTGGTCAATTTTGACGACTTTTTCAACTGTTCAAAAAGTGTCCTTAAAATGCTAAAAATTGCTTCCTAACACTAATATCTTTCATTTTAGAGCATATTTGGTCGGTTTTTCGAACATTGAAAAAGTCGTCAATTTTGGCCAAATGGTAAGGTTTACCCCTTACCATTTTGTCAATTTTGACGACTTTTTGAACTTTCAAAAATGTCTTAAAATGCTAAAAATGGCTTTGTAAGACTAATAAACGTATTATTTTTATAGTAAGTATTAACACGGGATGCGGTGGCCTAGTGGTTAATGCTATCGCCCTACCAGGTTGTGAGCGTAGGTTCGAATCCTTGAAGGGAGAAGTGCAATTTTTCCCATGTAAATTGCTATTTGATTTTAAATTCTGCGAATAGGATTAAGTCGAATAAACAACAAGAGCTTCTGATTAATGATGCTGTGGCCCAGTGGTTAAGGCTACGGCCTACCAGGTTGATAAGCCTAGGTTCAATCTTCATGGGAAAGTTCGATTTTTCACTAAAATTATTCTTTAATTAAACTTCATCGAAAAGGATTAGGTCAAATAAAGAACAATAGCTTTCGACAAATGATGCGGTGGTCTAGTGGTTAAGACAGTTGTTTCTCAATCCGAGGACAAAGGTATCACTCCGGGCAATGCAAAAAAATTAGCGTGAAAAATTTCGGTTTGATTTGGAAACTATAAAAGCATTTAGAGACTCCTGGGCCCTTTGGGAAAGGACCGTAAATTGAAAAAAAATTGAAATAAAAAAACTGAAAGAAATTTCTCGCGTTCAAAAGTACCTGAAAATTGAAAAAAAGCACAAGTAAAAAAAGTACAAGCAAAAAATTAAAACTCATGTGTCTCCTAAAAAGGCTTAAAAATTTCCCGCTTTTAAAAAACTCATGTTTACTTACCTCACCATATTTTTTTCACGAAAATTTACAGGGT